TATATAGCCTTACACTAGGGAAGTCCTGCTCACTGCCTTCTCGTAGCGAGGATGTTTACGAAATTGAGCGGATGTAGAGCGAATGTTCCGCGCTCTAACCGGGCTGGTTGGATCCACATGGGGGTTGGGGGTCGGAAAACCTTGATTCCAAACCAGTTGTGCACATGAACTTCATTATCTCGTGGGAAAATGACGTATAAACCTATTGTTGATCACCTGCTACCATGGGACTGCATCTCCTTACGTTGCTCCACTGCCTTGTTGATTAGACCTTTAGGTCAAAGGCTCTGGTGTGGTTCCAAAAGACAACCACCTGTTTCGGTTTGGGGACCTGGACAGTATCCTAGTCCACTCATAAATTGAATGGTGACTAATTTGTATGGCGCACATATATTTTGGTTCGCCTTTGTGCCAATTTTTATATGCCTAAATGATAATAATAATAATACCAATAATAATAACATCGGCAAAATCCACTGTCACTAATTGGGTGGGAATATAGCCCTCCTTTTCCAGTGTTCAATAAAAGTGTGTTATCTAACATTTTCGTGCATTTTCCATCCGTTCACTATGTCGATGTTGTATATAAACACGTAGTTCTCACTTGGAATTTCATCTCAATTATCCTATATATCTTTGAACATTACTATAGCCCACCTCAAGTTATCGGATGAAGAAAGCATAATAAATGAAATGAAGTCTCCAATCGAAATTTTGCACTTTTGTAGATGATTCACTTACTCAATGAATGGAGAAATGCTAGATATTGTACACATGTCGAATATTGAGGAAGAAGAGACGCGCTACAAATTAACGAACACACGTCCCATCCTTCAATTTGTCGCCACATAATTTAAATAAATATGGGAACATTAAGACTGTCGAAATGTTGCGATATTTCGCCTTCTGGATATCACCAGGTTCATTAGAATCCAATGGTATGCTTTTTAAGCATATTTCACTGATGAATGGCTTGAGACTTATAGACATATAAACAGTAGTTTTTAAAGTCGTATGTTTATCACACATGAGAAACCAGTGATAAGTGATAATAAACAACACGGTAAACCGATAGTAGCTGATCACAACCAAAACAACTTTATATTATTCTGGACAAATTTAATCTTTGTAAGGTATAATTTTTCTACTCTCTTACACTTGATTAATTACTGAACAATGACTAATGTCATATATAATTTAGTCTTTTTAGTACTGATGAAGTTCTGTCGACCAAGTTGCAATGTGACCACTGGTCTGAGTGAATCTTTTATTAGTAGCGACCTTATCACATGAATTAGAAAGTCTATAGAATATTTAATATATAATTTGAGACAGTACCTCGGCTACTTAATATTGTATTAGTATTCTACGTGGTAAATTGGTCATATGCAATATAGAACCTGAGAAATGTGTGCATCGCTTGCGTTTGCTCCACCACATTAGCACAATGAGATGAAATTAATAAGATAAATTCTGTATTAATGGAATTAGTAACTTCAGCAGAAAAAATTAGGTAGAAATAATATGATTCAAGAAAAATGCATAGAGTCGTGGGATATTAAAACGGTATAAAATAATTTTGAATCTTAGAATCTGAGGGAAGAAATATATCTACATCATTGTAACCAATGATAAGACATACTACTCAACGTCTCCAACAGATTCATTACTATAGTTATGGCAGTTTAAAATAATTTGACTCATTTACTGTGTGCAATTTTACAAACTTGGTTTTAAGTCACATTCCTCAAGCGAGAATTAATTATACTATTTAACTTTTAAGACCAAAATAGCTGTTATTAGGTTCAAACCTGTGATATAATGCTTGAAAACTTAACGACTTAACTACTTAAACACCTCTTCGTTAACAAATTGTTATCATTCTGGTACATTCACATTATCTATTGTCAACGTTACTCTTCCCTTCGTTTATTATGTGTTTATCATAATAATAATAATAATAATAATAATTTCCAATCGTAAACTTTTTGAAAACTGTGCTCTCTCTTTGAATTATTGATCATTTAAAAAAAAGTTTGTCTATCGGGTCGCATAACGTCAACTTTTCTAATACATTTTGTTACAATATCTATTCACCTGTAGTTTATTTCTGCAAATAGTACAAATTCTGTCCCGTTTATATTTGTGAAGATTTTTTAAAAAGTAAAAATTATTTTAGAAACAATTTTCTTAGTGTATTATTATTATCAATCATTATCTAGAATTGTGCAAATGAATTAAAATGAAATATTTGACCTAATTTACTGATTAACTTGTATTCACATATACTTGATTTGTTTTGTATTATTACAAGTGCTTTCTCTTTCTTTCTTTCTTTCTCCCTATTTATCTGGGTTTTTTTGTTTGTTTGTATGTATTTTGTGCGAATAGGATATCTCAGACAATAAAAGATACTTACTGGCCTTTTTTAAATCTTCTTTTATTCACTCTTCCTTCTTATTCTTTCCTCTATGTAAACAGCTGCATGGATTACTTCTAGTCTAGGTGATTAGTAAAAGAGAAGAATTTTTTTCGAGTTAATTCATATATATATATATATATATATATATATATATATATATATATATGTATATATCGCCTTCTCTATTCTTTTCACTATAACTAGTTTTCCCCAGTGTTAAATGTGATATTCAGTTTATCCCTGTAGGGAGGTAGGCAGTATCAATACCTCACCTCTGTCCCTTGTTATATATATATATATATATATATATATATATATATATATATGTACATGCGCGTAGTAATTGATAATTTGACTTGGTGCACAAACCAAAAATATAAATTAATGGTTTGCACATCTGTGCTTTCGATTGTTTTTTAAAAAAGGATTTTTTTAGAGATTGCACTGTCTTTTAACCGATTCCTCTCAGTACGAGTACAAATATATGTCTGTCTGTATGTGTGTGTGTGCATGTATCGTATGAAATTTTCTGCTGACTTCGTGAAAATTTTCGTCTCTTCACTGTTTGCTCTAAAAAATCTTTCTTCTGTTCTTTTTTTGCTTCAAAAAATAATCAGTCTTCAACTATTTCATGAATTACCTGTATTTATACTGATAATTTATGTGATCGTATTTGTACGTTTGTTTTACGCCTTTGTCTTCACCTTATCATCTCAATATCTCTTGCTAGTTTTCTTTCTTGAAATGCATAATTTAATCACTTTGGTTATTTGTATTCATCATCACCGTCAGCACATAATATTAACAACAATAATTGTTATTACTATTTTATCATTCTCATTTATGATTATTACGACGATATGTACAAAGGCAAACTATGTCTGTTTTATAGGTCAATGTGTGTCTTCAAATAATCAGATATAATAAATATAGCTGTAGTCATAAACGAGTAATTTTTTCCACTCTTTTCTCTCATTGTTTCTGATCTATTTTCTCCTTCATCCTCATCCATCTTCTAATTCACGACGTTGATTTCATCGGTGATTGTCACCACCCCGTTCTTGAAACCCCTCAGCTGATATTTTCTTATTGTTCTGTCTTCTTTATGTTACTGAATTTGTACAGATTCATATTCTACTTTTCTTCTGTGAAGAAGTAATAATGCGTTCTTACTATTTTAAAGAGAAAGTTTTTTGGTTTGTGGAAAAGGGTTTCGATAAATTCGTCAACAAAATTTCAATAATATAATGTGTTACGATCGTTTATCAATTATGTAGTTAATTACTGTCGTCTTAAATCGTTCTTGACAAACCATACACCTATGTATATATAAATAGATTATTGGTTATTGAAAAAAATTATTTTAACTTAATCATATTTTTATACTTTATATTTGATAAGAATTAGTCGGAGTAGTTCAGTAAGGGGATCTATATTGACTACACTCGCATAACCTTGGTGTTTTAACTATTAACCTGTCGAGTGTTTAGATCTACTTCATAGACCTTTTCATTATTTATATCAGACATGTTATTATTTCAGTTATTATTTGAAAGTCCGCCTCGTTTATTCGTTTTTAGACCGAACTTTTTATTCATACTGACCGATTTTATATTTATGTATTTGAACACAAATACTGGTACAAAGAGGTACCGAATATAAATGCGCCGCACAAGTCACTTGACTTGTGTGTGGGCTATGATATTGCCTGGGTGCCCAGACCGAAGCGGATGGTTTTCTTATGAGTCAGTCAGTCTGACTGACACCAGGAGCCTTCGACCTAAAGTTTTGATCCACGTGGCAGTGGAGCAACGTCAGGAGATGCAGTCCCATGGTAGCCATTTGTTCCCTCAGGACACTGGAGACCATGTGCACCATTGGTTTAGATTCAAGGTTTTCCAACTCCCCTAGGTGAACTCTCCGTGGACATCAACCCGGTTAAAGCACTGGACATTTGCTTTTCATCTTTTCAATTTCTTAAACAACATCCCCACCACAAGAAGGCAGTAGATAGGACTTCCCTGGCAATCTCTGTATACGCGTGGCCATGTGAGAGCATTTCGAGAGGGGGAGAGTTGACACTCCCCACCCTCGGCCATACTAGGGCATTTGGTAGCTTTGACTGAACATCAACATATCTGTTCTTTCGTATTATTGTGTATAGAAAAGCTCTTCCATACTATGTTGTTATATACAGATTCATAATTGAACAGAACCAACAAACCTCTTGACATAATCTGGTACTTGAATTTCTCACTTTGCTACTTAACCTGTTTACTAATATCTCAACTAAACTATACGGCAAATAACTCATTTTCTTACTGTACAGAAAATCAACGATTGAACATGATTAAGCAAGTGTTTAATATCGATTCGTTTTAGACCTTTATCTTCGATATTTTTGGTTATTTCTGCGTAGAAGCGCTGTGATAATCTCAACAATAATATCTCCTGTATATACTTGACGTCTAATTTCTGTCAAACTGTTTGTTCAGATTTTAAAGAATTTTCATCATATATACTATTTTACGATTGTGCTAGTGAGATTAACATTTCTTTTAAAAAAAACTCATTTTAGCTTTACGATTCTATGCTTGGTGGTATCAAAGATCCAAACAGTTCAACTGTCAGTGAAAATGATATTTGTTCTCGGTTATCATCGACTCATACAACTCCATCATCAAATTTATTAACTGGTGGGAATTACAATTGTCCACCGATAACTACACCTCTGTCATCATCATCATCATCAATGTCATTATCTTCACGGAATAGATCAAACATAGAATCGATCGTTCGAACTGATCATATTCATGACAATCGTGATCCTTGTATTTACACAAATTTAAATGTTGTTCCTGTTGGTGGAAATAATACATCATGTATGTCAGCTTTATGCAGTAGTGGTGCTGGAAATGATGATATTGATTCACGTCGTATAATTAAATCAAGTATTATCCCGACTGGTATTGATGAACCCAATAAACGTGAAATAAAATCTCTTCATTTCCAATCAAATAATCCATTGATTGCATCTTCGGGAATTTTTGATTCTTATTATGGAATTGGTAGGTGGCCAGTTTTTTTTCTTAAAAAATAAAATTTTAAGTGATTATTTATTCATTATCAATTCCAATATGGCGTTTATTTTAATAAAAAAAATGTTGTGTGTTGTTGTACTACTTACTATCTATTTTTCCGTAATGCAGTCACATATCACTGTGTTCTATTTGTGTTATTCATAGATTTCTCTGCTTATTATGTGTGATTATTTCATTGTCGTTCAGTAAAAATTCCACTGGTTGGTTTTTAAGGAAGAAACGAGTATAGTTTGCGTAGTGTTTTACATTATCTCAATTTTTTTAGAGATCGATCTGTTTTAACCTAGCTATTCTTGTTGAATTCATGAATTAATTGAAATTGGACATCAACACAAATGGACGCCAGCCCAATGGTCGCGCGTAAGATTTAGGGTTCTAGGTTAGGTCCCTATTAGGATCGTGGATACACATTGTTGAGTGGCTCCATATTAGCATTAAATAAGCTACCCTGTGTTTTCGGGTTTTCTGTTGTTGTCTAACTAGAGTCAGTTTGTGAGTGTTTACTACAGAATTCAATAAACTCCACAAACTCTTTTTTTACTAATAATTACTATAATTTGTTTAGCAACTTCAAGTTTATATATTCAGCTTTAAGTGAAGATGCCTTGTTTGGCGACTGCTGACAAATGATATGTACCTTTATTGACCCCAATAGGTATATTAAGTTCGATTCTATAACTTAATGAATAAGCCAAGTACTTTACTCAAATTAATTACTAATAAATATGTTAATCATTAGTCCTAACCAATAATCCTGCTAATATTGTTTAAATCTGCCTGCCACTCGTACTGTGGTAACATGGGACAAATCCATGAAGTCACTGACAAGTGGACTGAGTCATGTTAGTAGGTGTAGACTACCTGGTTGGGGACCGCGAAATGATAGCAACCGATGGTTAGAGACCTTGAATGACATGGCTCAAAATCGTTTGCAATGGCGCAGGTGCATCCACTCTTTGTGTTCTCCCAAATTCTAATCTTCTGAATTCTTCATGTCCCTTTCTTTTTTCTCTTTCCAAATTTATTTCACTGGATTATACTTTTTAAATAACATCTTCAAACCCTAGTCTTCCCGATTACTGAATGTACTATTGCTACCTCTATCACTACGGGATTTGAATCGACAAGTGCATCTCTGTGCTAATGTGGTATGGAAACTCGAACTGATGTACGTACGTACGAAGTTCTACGTTGTTACTGACTGACTGAATTTGTAGTTATGTAAGATTATCTGGCCGGAGGTTGAATGGTTGCTCAAAATCGGTCACAATAGATCAAATACCTTCACTTTAAATCTTAAAGTTCCAGTATTTCTTCATGTAAACCCCTTTTGATTCCATCATCTCATATTATGTTTTCGATGTTTAATCTTTCTCATGACTATTAGCTATTGCATTTATTTCAATTCCTTTATTATTTATCATCATTAGCTATATCATCTTGTGAATATACACTTATATTTATCATAGTCTCTCTATGTTGATAAAAGGAAATCCGATTAATTTTTCTAAGATATTTTAAATAAATTAGATTAAAGAGAAAAGAAAAAACGTAAGTAATTGTATACGATTTGTAAATATTATACTATTTTACTTATCATAATTTTACTTTGTTTTTGTAGTAAAATAGCGGAAAAGTTTTAATATAATTACTTTTACAGCTTTAGGTATTATCTATGTGTAGTACACATTAAAAGGGGAAAAGTTAGTAAAAAAAAAAGAAATTAGAAAAAATATTCTGTTATTTGCATTTTTTGTTTGTTTTTTAATCAACAATGTTTGATCAGTGCCTAAAATAAATTCTCTTTTTTTTTACAATTTTATTCTATATCTGTTCATATTATTGATATGTTATAGGAAGAATTGAATAAACTATGTATTATCATCATTGTTATTATTATTATTATGTTTAGTATTATTATTACTATTGTGTATTTTGTATTTCTCTTTATCCCCCCTCCCCTATTTTGCATTTTGTAAATTTTTGTATTCTATGATAGTTGTTTACATCAGAGTGTGTTTACTTATCCTTCGTTTTTTTGTTGCCTGTTTTCTTTACCACCCTCTCTCGCTCGCTTTCTTCTGTCTAACTTTTAGAGAATAGTTTTTCTGTAGGCAACACATCTGTGCTCCAATGTTGTTGCATGTGTTTTTTATTATTATTATTAGTGATTTTGTTATGTCCCCAGAGGTCGCAAACGTGATTTTTTTTTCGTGATACTGCTTACACGTATTTGTTCTTTGTTGATGTTGTTGTTGAAAAAAACAACAATAAGAATTAGCTGATTCACAAGACGATTTGACTGTGTATGCAAAGCCCTAAGGCAGTGTGATATTAGTTTATTTGCTTATATTCCTTAAAATTTTATTCTTAGCCAGCCAGCCCCCTTATGCTTCGATTTGTTTTGTACTGAGTAATTGAAAATAATCTGCTTGTTTTCTGTTGACCTTAATTCTAGCTTTTGCTTAAAATAAAATTTCTTATGCAAAATTAATGTAATGCTGTTTATTTGAGAATTGGTTGATGCAACTACTTTGTAGATGAATTCTCCTACTACTACTGTTGGCCAGTAGTAGTAGTAGTGGTGGTAGAACTTACTGAATAAAACGTATCTTTGTATGCAGTTGGTGCATATTTTGCTTCTTTGTGATCCATGCTAGTTTTTCATTTAATTGATTTGTCACAGCTTAAATTTCTTGTCATTTCTTTTTATTTATCTTTGTAGATTCTGTGTGTGATGGAAATACAATTCCAAGCGGTTGGTCAAATACAACTAATGTCATTAATCCAGGTTGCGTAGTAGCAGGTTCTGTTCATACATCAAATTTTCCTTCACATATTTCCAATGATAATAATAATAGTAGTGCCTGTCAGTTGACGTCTGAATTGACTTCTGTTCCCGCCTATCCCAATTCTAATCCCTCTATCCATCCTGAATCTACTCATCCGACACATGTAAATATGGTAAATTTATCCTGTTTTTTAAAGGGGGTATTGAGTTATTATTATTATTATTATTTTATGTTTGAAAAGGAAAACACTTTAATTTGCATTGAATATTATTTACTCCGCTGATCAGTTTTGACTAGTCTGCTATTACTATCTACGATTGTGTAAAATTCTCATTTTTTGGTGTCTAGCTATCAACTTAAAACACGTCTCACTATATTTTTGTTATTCATTGTTTATATGAACTTCTTACACGTTATTTCGTAAGATAATTAGCATTAATCCAATTATTCATTATCATTTATTAAAACTCTGGTGTTTTATTGTTTAAACTTTAGTAGTCGTCTAATTGTAACTTGTAACACTTTCTTCAAAATAGTGTTTCCAGCAATAAATGTTTGGTGAATAGGGAATGACAATGTTCAATATTTTTATTGAATACTTTGAGAAAAAAACTCATATCGAATGCTCTGTTAAATAATTCATAAGATAATATTGTTCATTGAATTTTAAATGGATGAAATTTGTAATAAATTGTCATGGTAATGACGCAAATTTATCCTACAACATTTTATGAAATTAACTTATTACTAGGCTACTTGGGCCACATCGGTATAATTTTTTTCAAAATGATAATGATTGGTTGGCTTATTTAACATTTTTCATTTCAACACCGGTCAAAATGTGAAGAATCTGTGCAACAGAAAGATATACCTAATGATAGAGCAGTCATGTTCTTTGAGATGCGTCTTAGATTCAGACACTCATTAAGTGATGACTTAATAAGTTGTTAGGATAGTCGGAAAAATATACCAATAATTATCGTGTTAAGTCTTGGACCTTAAATGTACATTTCTTATTGGTCGATGTTTATTTCACTTGTTAAATATTTTGTAAATGTTGTTTCCTATTTTATGGTACGATGTGGTTTGTTTGTTTGGTATATAAATAGTGTATGTCTGAAATACAATGATTCATAACTCAGAGGCTGTGACTTGCGTTCTGGACTCAACTGGCTGGGGCAGACAGCGAAGCGGGACCAATCAGGGCACTAGGTCGTCCACTACGTGTTCTCCGTATCACTAATCGATTGATAAATAAAACGCTGCTTATCAAAACCTGCAGTCTCACACGTTACAACATAAGTAAAGCTCTCAATACTTCATGGCCGTTGGTTTGAACTCAAAAACTCTTAATTCAGTTTTGGAATTGTATAAATATGACTATCTTTCAAAATGTATTATGTGTTATAGTTTGATAAATTACATAGTTTTGTGATTGTGAAGATTAGTGCATTGTACTCTGATCGAACATGTCAGCTCAATCGATACGTTGTGGCCAAGTGATAACAGCTTACGAGATCTGAATATCTATTCAATCCCATAAATGAACTAATTTCAACCGCACGAACGCTAACCAGAAGAATAGGTTTTTTTAAGTAGTACAATTACGTGTTTACATACAAAATGCTTAACATAAAAATATGGTGGGATTTCTCAAATAATTGGAAGATATATCAGTTTTATCGCTCACTTACTCGTCAACAATTTAGAATCTAACTATTATGCCTAATTCTTGCTTCGCTTATCATATTATTGTTAAAGGCATCAACCTATGCTTGGCTCTTCACCTGTCTAATTGATATTTTTTAAAATTTAAGCTTGATCCGATTACTCTGTAACTTAATCGGGAAACATTGTAGATATTTTTGAGAAAATATTATGTCATTTGGTTTTGTTACAGGGAATGAATTATTCTGGGGTCGGTGGAGTTGGTGGTAATATGTATGCATCGACTACATTACAACCTTGTCCATTGGTTGGTTTATCTGATTCTTCCATTCAACACCCATGCAATATACCTCAACCTGGTAAGTTGACTGTCAATAAAAAACACATGATTTGTGTGTGCTTATGCATTCATTAGAGTAAATTTCTATAATATAATTTATTTAGCAATGTAAATAATGTTAAGTTTCTATTATAGGTATGTAGGTAGGCTAAAATAATGGTTGGATTTGATTGTTAAGAATATTGTTAAGATTCTCATGCCTTTTTTAGTCAAATCATTCTGTATAAATGGAAAATATTTTGTTTGAAAATTAATTAAACCTAAATGAGTACAATTATTTTTACTTAGTCTAAGGATTTTTCAATGTTTATGTGATAAGGTTTCCAATCTTATTAGAAAAATTCCTTTAGAGTAATTTATCTGGGTGCAAAAAATGTCTCGTTCTAGATCATTTATGTATCTATATGTATTAACACACAAACGTTGGTAAAAGTAGGCACCAAATATATATGCGTCACACTGTAGCGGCTTGGCTTCGTTCATCAATCAACCTGATAACCGTTATTAAATATACCCCAACGGTGTATGAATTCAGAAGGTAACAAGCGGCAATTACAGTTTATTTTATTGGATAACACAGTTAACAAAATTTCAAGCACATCGAGGCGAATTGGAGCAGAGACGCTATTGTGTGTAAGCGAGCGAATATAGAGGCAAAATTATAGTGAAATCGAATCGAGGCGAAGCGAAGACAATTAATAAAATTCAAGCATATATGTTCATAAAGACATGATAGTGATCGTAATAATACAAAAAAAAATAGGCAAATTGTTACTGTCTGTTGTTTAAGCTAAATGAAGGACTACACTGGTCCCGCGTGCGTGACCGTGGGTTCACACTGCTGAAGAGGAGTCCTATACCAGGACGGAACGGCCATCCAACGCTTCCAGGTTTTTAATGGTGGTCTAGCTTAGATTGACATGCGATTTAAGCTGTGAAAGTACTACAATCTCCACAAATTCCCATACTGATAATATTTTGGTTTCACATTTTTATTTAAATCAATCATAAATATTACCTGCTTCGGTTTGGGCACCCGGGCAGTATCACAGCCCTCACACATATGAAATGAGATTTGTGTGGCGCATATGTATTTGGTGCCTCCTTGTACCAATATATATGTGTTAAAATAAATAAAATAATTCCTATTTGCTATGATGATACAGTTGCAAAATTCTACACAAAAACTTGATTGAATCTTATTTCTGAGTTTATAACATATTACATATGAGATTGTAAACTGCTTAATGGACAGTTGATAAACAGATCTTCACTTAGATCCCTTCACTTTGGTTATTCCTCATCTAATTCAATGTAGATTTTGCAGAAAGTGAACTTATATCTCTATTTGTGTCACAAACAGAAACACTACTATGGGATCCTTCAGACTGCGCTTTGCAAAATAGCTGTAGAGCTGATGTGTTTATTATGATAGATCGTTGAGTAGTAGTAGTAGTAAACAATCTTGTATTACTATCCAGTGTTTTGTTATAATCGAATTTATCGGTCAAATATTATTGTGATTAGATATTAGTGCATTTCATTCTTATGTAATGTACATACGAGGGATTCCACAAACTTTTTATTTTAGCACACAGTGGCAAAACCATAGATTAATCATATCAAACGACCTTATTTGTGTACATGCTTTGTTTTGTTCCTTTACGCTTACATTTCCAGAATTAGTCGTGAAAATATTACTAAACTGTTTCTCTTTTTTGATATGACTTTTATGTAAGGGAATTTATTGTCTCTGAATTTAGGTACAATTTAATGAGTCATCCATCGTCTATAAAATAGCACTTGTCATTAAATGTAATTCAGATGTAGATCAGTGTCTTACATACTGAGAAGTGTTATTTCTCCTCCTCACTCTTTGTTAGTAATCTAAGTGTATTTTGAACATAATTTCTTATTATATCTAATTAGTGATCTGGCTGTTTGACTGACTATGTTTTAAGTGAAACATATAAGCGTAGTTGTCGTAGTAATAGTTAGCATATAATTAAAAATCCTTTTTTTCACTTCATTTTATCTTCAAACCAGTTTGATGTAAGAAATTTTTGCACATTGTAGTTTTCTACTTAAAAAAGATTGAAGTTTAGTCGTGCCCAGTAAAACCTTTTGATGGTTTGAAATCAATTTTTGTCCAAATTACACTTTGGTGTATAAAATGACTATTCATTTAGACCATGTACTTAACTTGCTTAGGCTATCAACTATGCAAAGCGATAATAGATTCAAACCTCATCATTCTAGCTTGGACAGAAGGATAATATTACACATTGTTACTCTGAGAAACTTAACTTAAAACGGAGTACACAAATCCATATTTAGTTCCAAGTTTTTACTGTGATGATTAAAAACGTGCTTAGTAAAAACTTTGTTCGTTCATTTTTTTTTCTCAACACTGAAAATTGAGGGAAATTTATTATGAATATAGCGGTCTTCAGTGTTGTTATAGGTATGACAGCGGTTATCATTTCCTGGTTACCCATGCCATGGAAGGGTTCCTTTAGAGATACCTGAAAAGTAAATTTGTTTAGAGATGGTCTGAGTGATCTGAGAGTGAAACCGCAGGGCTCAAGGGACAGCTGTTTGAGGCCAGTCACACTCGACCATTTTCTGAGTAATTTCTATGTTTGCTCCGTACTTGTTGAAACCTTACCGCCGGAGACGGAAATTCACGGGATAAGGCGAGGTATGCACGTTTAGGGTCGCCCATTTCTAACCCCGCCGCTCTTTATGGGAAGGCAGCATCACTATTATGCTGGTTGTCTGAAGGAAGCACCTAACTGCCGTCAATCATCTGTACAGTTAGCAGTACGACTTCGCCCTCGAACCCTGGGTTTGTTGCTTTTAGTCTTACCGCTCTTCAACTGACCTACCTGGCATGGTAGAACCTTGAGGAACGATTATTCCAGCCAGTATAGCTCGATTGCTTTATCACGATAAACAAGCCCGATCACCACGTCAAAGTGGTAGCAACGGTCGGGAACCGTGATATTAAAATTACTTTATACCTTTCTTCCTGCGAAGTAGTTATTTTTTCCTGTATCATGTCCTTATATACCATCTTGTCTTCATATATTACTACCATTTAAGTAACTGCTTCGACTTGTTTGGTGTTCATCTTGTTATGCTAAAGAGATACGGTAACTTAGACCAATGGATATATGTGCTTCGTCCTATGTTGTATATAATTGACTGACTTTTCCCAACACTAGATAGATTTTTGACTTATTCCATACATTTTCGACTATCCGGTTAGGTGTCTAGTACCCATTAGTTTATCAGTTTGTTTGTTGTCACAGATAGTCATAATCTATCTGTCCAATAATTTCATTAGGACTATTGGTTTTTTTTATGGTCACCAATTATTTGTTGCCAGAGTACTTTAATGCTATTCACAACAGACAAACTGAATTGTTTAGGAATCATCACTAATTAATAATCAAAACTATATTAATAATGGTGATTTTTTTGTTATTTCATTAAAATAGTTCATCCTTTAGATCCTAATCCTCCATATTCTTCCATTGGGGAATATACAATTCATCGTCAATCTTCTGATATAACCCCACCATCTGGTCTATTACCTTCAGTTGTCTATGAACAACACTCACTTGCAAATCTCAATACACATGTATGTGTTATTGTTGTTATTAACATACATACTTTTTATTGTTAACCTTTCATTATGCATTATTAATCATTTTTTTTGCTTAGGCTCACTCGCTTGTGTGTATGTGTGTAAGTATATTTTGATGAATTAATTGCCTATGGATCTTACTCATTACAAATATGATCTCTAATGGGTCATGTTTTGGATCATACTTATTGTTATTATTATTATTATCATCATGATAAGATCATCTTGACAACATAACAAATGCAAATGAGCAACGAAAATTCGCATAATTCAATTTTGCTGATTCATTGATGTGTCTATCGTTATTCTGTTTTTCTATTTTTTTCATGTACCTTCGTTATTTGGTTTTTTCCTCGTATCTTTATTAATTAGTGGTGCATTATTGCATTTCTTTACAGCTATAAACATGTAATTTATATGTGTACTTTGATATTATGTTATCAAGAGTTTTCATCAAAAAAATTCCTCCAGTACTTTTTTAAAGTACATTATTGTTAGGTTAGAAAAGGGTTATAGAGATTTCTCGGTTTACAATATACATCACAGAATGATTTAAGCCAAACACGACTGATAGAAATAAGGGAGGACTGAACAGTTGTTTTGTTTCAGTGTTAAACTTTTCAAGAATGGGAATCCAAGACCCTGCCAAGGTGTGAACGTGCTGTCCTTTGTTTTAATAGAAAGCGCTGAGCTGTTATCCAATTATATGGACAACCATCATTCATTAACATGAGTTATACCTGTCTCATATACTGTACATCGCATGCACATGTAGCCTATAATTTGAATCATAATTGATTCAGCTGGAGTTATCTGATTTATATCTTTAGTTCTTTTTCTCGAGTGCGAAGGGTTAAGAATGAGAAGAAATATGTAGAGTATTATCTTAATTTACGCTATGTTTTTATGCGTATCCATAAAATGTAATACTTATTTTCTGGTTAACATTTAGTTTGAGGAAGCCTAAGTTTATACTACTTATCTAATGATTAGGGAACTATTCTTCTGTTGATCAACTTCGGAAAATATATTCTCACCTTTTCCATTTGGCCATTCTTCAACTAATCTAATAATTCTAAAAATGATGTTAACGTTGCAATAAACGTAAACCATTCAGTAAATGGTACGTTTTGTGATAATATTTGAAATATATATAGATAGATTCTGTGAAGTGTTTTTATTATTCGTTTTGTAATTTGCCTGCTAAGTGTTTGACTTAATTTGTCCTCCTTTAATTTCATTCATTTCAGAATACAACTTCAAATAATAATAATAGTAATAATAGTACTACTACTAATAATAATAACAACAATTATCAAAGTGATATGATGAGTTGTAGCCGTGAGGCACTGATAGCATTAGCAGGTATGTTTTACTTCGTATTTTAAATTATCTCGTCATCTTTCTTGTTTAAATCCACATATTTGATATATTCTCTAGAATTTCTTCTATTTGTATTGTAGTGTCAATCATTATTTTAAGCCCATATATCTTATTCTAGCTTGCGGACATTCCATTCTACTCATTCTACTTGAGTCATATTTTGACCTTGTCAATTATTTGCTTATCAGTCTTGACTGTTTTTATATGAGCGTATATGTGTGTGCCCTTCTTATTCCATTAATCACATGTCTGTAGCTTTATTTTGTCTGACTATAAATATTGAGTAACGCTTGACTAAAATGGAGTTGGCTTCCCAGCCATCTTCCATACTTGTCATTTTGCTTTGCTATGTTTCATTCGCTTCATATACAAAGTATATGTATTCGCAAATCAATTCTCGTTATTCGACTTATTTAATTCCGTTATTGGATAACGCGATTTAAGTCGACGATTATATACGAGAATAGGCGATAACAAACATTCGTACGATCTAAATAGGAGTCAGATCCGCGGGCCACTAAAGTATCTCGGATTATTATTGTCGATTTCATGATCAACTTCATATTTTAATCTGATATCATATATTCCATTTTAGTTTGATGACAGTTAAGAGTTAAATATTATTTGAAAAAAAAGCAATGCAAACTATGATAGTTGATGTTAAGTTTAAGTGAACTAATATTTTAAGAATAATAAGTTCGTTACCATATACATTATTCATTTTATTTCGTGAACTCTCATTGACTGTTTATGACATTGTTCGTATAGAAATACAGTCATCATGATAATAATACATCACCTTGAGATAGTGGGATGATTTATAGCTTACGAAGATGATTAGGATGAGTTAGCGTTTTATGAGATAGGTGCTTCACTTGTGATGCGTTCATGATCTTTCTAGACTACATCATCAGGACGAACATTAAAAAGAATGTGAACTATGAAAACTTTTTTTGTCATTACATTTTTCGATTTGCATAAAATTGACTGAAATGATTTTACTATTTTTTTAACCACGCCTGATCCTAAAAATTAATTTATTTTACCTTATGTAGTGAAATTCGTACAAACCGAAATTGACATTCTTATCTTTTGCACATTTCATTATTTTTTCAGTATACAAGTTGTATTGATCTCAAAAAGTATGTTGATATTTTTTATTATAGGATCTGGCGCAGATGAAATGAATTTCACAACTCGTTCATCTAATATAAGTTTAACACATTCCTCTACACCAACCTTATCTGCTAGTAATTCTACATCTCATGGCGGTGGTCGTGGAACAAGAGGTGGTCGTGTTGCTGGACACAAGCGTCGATCATCATCTGTTAATCCTTCCAATTCTCTTAATTTAGAATCAAATGGAAATTCCATCGAAGCTAACACTAGCGATATGACTTTGGGGCTGTCGAATGCTTGCCCATTATCCTCTAATACTGGTATGAGCTCAGAATGTTCATCTCTTTTCGGTGATTTTGACAGCAGTAGAAATTTCGGACATGGTCGTACGCCAAGTGTATGTGGTACTGACTCTGAAGAAACTATTGACCCAGATGAAACACCTGAGCAAAGAGCTGAAAGAGAACGTAGTCGTAGGCAGGCGAATAATGCACGAGAGCGGTAAGTATGCTATTTGTAGTTAAATATGTCAACGATACTGTTCATTGATTTTCTTGATTCAGACAGACTGCAAATTTAATTATAAATAGTCATAACTTAGTAGGTAACAGGACAGGTGTGCATCGTACCTAGTTACTGCGCTTTATATCACCACACTAAATGCTTATAAGCAAAATAAAATTTAACGAAATAGAAATAACAGTATCAGTGATCGTAAAGAAGACTAAACTTTGGAAACATAATTAAAAAATCGAATATCAGACAGTATGAAAATTCGATGTTTACTGGCAGACAGCAGACAGATTATTATTTTCATATTATTTTTGATACAATATGGAATTCTCGGCACAAAGTATTTCGATAAATTTCATTTTCTTATTTTTTGATCGGCAGTTAGGTGTTAGCAGATCAGGAATGGACATCTGCATAATGTTCATTCTTTTCAATCCATATTGCCAGCCTCCACGATGTTTCCGATTGTACTTTTGTGTAACTTGTACAACGAAAGGTCGTAAACTTTTCATAAACGCACCTGAATAGGTTATGAGATTAATGAACATAATGATTTGTTAAAACAAACAAAAACAGATAACTTGTTGAAATATTTAGGTGTAAAGAACGGGTAGCCCCGATACTTAGGCAGGTCGCCATAGTTATAGGGATGATGATTAATTTGTAAATACCAGTTAAAAACTCTACATGCCCTAGTACCACTCACTGTAGCAATCATTAACTTTGTGAACTGATCACCCCAAACTTTCTTCGTAACTCCTCCTCCTATGCTAGCTAGGAGTATAGCTTGAAAAACGTGTCTGCGAATGTGTTATACGCGGATGATGACATTTCACAACCTTCATAGACCACCTGGTCATTTCTTGTAAGTGATCGCTTAGTTGTTCCATCATACTTGAACATTGTTTAGATAACATCCGTGATTAAATACTGAGAACATACATATGTTTTAACTTTCAAACATAATATTTTCAATCATAAATTAATATAAAAAAGATTTGCTGCTAAGAGATATCACTCTTGGACAATATATATATTATTAGGTTATTTAGTAATAGTGAAGTGTCAGTATTTTTCATGTCTTGATTCTTTTGAATGTTTTTTTCTTTGGAATGGAAATGTATTCTTAATAAATATTACAAGAAATTGCTTTGCTTACTTCAATTTTTTTATGAATTCCAGAGTTGTTCTTTTCGGACAGTTTAATTTTTCACTGTTAGAATTGTGTAATGTAGTATACTTTTTTGGGGAGGGGATGATGCTTTTTTGCGTATTCCTTGTTTTGAATTAACTCCATGCAATCGCTTTTCTTTGCTACTGAAGTGGTTATTAGTTCGGAACTGTTTAAAGAGGATTCGATGGGAAACCTCTAGACGTAGGTTTCGTGTTACGTCGTGCTCATCATCGAAGCGCACATGTAATGTTGGTGGGACTGATACTGCCTGGCCGATTTAATCCCGTGTCACTCAGCTACACAGAGAAGTTACCATTGAGCTATTCGGGCAGCTACTGACCTTTAAAACTGAGCTGTACCTATAGTTGATTAATTACTAAGTAGTGACCACTATCATGTATGTCGAGTCCTGCCAATGAATTTGGATGGTATTGGATTTAATCCAACATGGAGCATCAATTCCCCCAAGATTACATGTACTCCTTGCTGATTGGTGTCAAATAACACGAAATTGAGGTCAAACACGGTTTCCTATGGATTACTTCCAACCATAACCTTGCATCTCAAGTTAGTGCACTCGATATCAAGGCACTGAAATTAGTGACCACATAAATTGATCGGTAGAATTCAATCAACTCTAAAGAGGAATTGACACCCATGGCATTAATCACTAGTTGGTGATCAATCAATTGTAAAAATACATGAAATACCATTTTGTCTGTCAGGTAAGGTGAAGACGCGTTTTAAAGTAAAGACAAATTTCACTTACTGTGATCGTATTTGGAAGTATCTAATCTTGTAAATCAATTAAATCAAATCATTTCGTTAACTAGATTGTAGTGTTTTACGTATTTCACATTATGTTTACTTGTCCATTATATCCATAAATTGTACAACAACAAAAAAGATTACGAGTTCGTGAAATCAATGATGCTTTTAAAGAATTGGGTCAAATGATTAATTTGCACACGGGAAATGGTCAACCTCTGACAAAACTCATGATTCTTCAGCAAGCTGTAACAGTTATCACAGGTTTGGAACAACAAGTTAGAGGTTAGAAGAAAAAAAAAGATATTTTTAAAAATCGTTTTTAAGTTCTGCTTGATGTTAGCATGTTGTCATAATCCTCAGTATTATGCATGTTTATATCTCTCCTTTTCTTTCATCTTAATCTCCTGGATCGTGATAATATTATCTGTTACATCATACTATCCATTACATATGTCAATCTGGTTAATCGCATTCCTGTGTGTTACACTTTATGTATGGTATGCTCTTTGTCTATCAAAGTATTCGAGTTCGTGACATCAATGATGCATTCAAAGAGCTTGGACGCATGTGCATGATGCATTTAAATAATGAACGACCACAAACCAAACTTACAATTTTACAACAAGCTGTTTCATTAATCACCAGTTTGGAACAACAAGTTCGTGGTAAGTAGTTTGTGTATTTCATGTGGTTACATTTCTGTCGTAAGATTTTATTGGGAAATTTATGAGTGTTTAGTTTCTCTGTTTTATTATTTACTTTATATGTAAGTCTAATAAATAATTACTAGAAGTTAGTTTTTAATTTTCACCATTGATGATAATAAGAGAACGATTGTGTATTCATTACTTAAACACGTTTTTTTTATGTGTATAGTCACTCCGCTACTATTGAAGTCCAGTTAAAAAAAGAAAACACTTTCTGATTCTAAATATAATGCTTTCGATTCGTATGTGAATATTCTATTTCGTGCCTTTTCTTTGGTTTTTGCTGGCTAACTGTGTTTATCAATACTTTATGCTATGGAAATCACATATTGACCATTTAGGGAGGTGTGTATGTATGAACATACGGCTACTTGGATTTTATTCTGCTTTTTAGTCAGTGGTTTTGAGACGCTAAGTGATATGGTGAGTCGAATTTGGACACAATGACCTAGATGAGTTTTCTGTTTATCTTTTTCTAGATCTTGAGTTCCAACATTTCCTCATACATATTCTCTGTGTAAGGGATTCTTCCTAGTTGTAATTCCTGTTACATTATTTTGATTATTTTTTCTATTCGTCTTGATAATTTCATTTGACTGTGCAAATTTGTTAGGAGAATTTTGTCTAATGCATATTAGTGCCATCCTCTTTATTGATTATGATTGACTGACTGGTAAAAAAAAAGAATTCAAATTAAATAAACCTATATTGGTGAAAGCTACCCAAATAAGTTGGTTATATATAAAGTGTATTCTAATTGAGCTATTTTCGTCAATGTGTAAGCGTTTAGCAACATTTATTTCATTTGTTGATTTAGGTGTTGTTGTTTTTTTCATTCTTTTAGAAATAACCGTTTTTCTTTATTTTACTTCTCAGTGGATTGATTTACTACATAAAAATTCTGTCATCAATCTATGGTGTATAAAAATTACATTTTTCTTAAGTGATAATACATCACTAAAACTCGTTAAATTCATTCATATATATTATCATAATTCATTATCTATCTTTTTTTGTTTTTGCATGTGTCAAGTAATTTTTTGTTTGTTTATTGTTATCTTAGTTTTTTTGGTTGTTGTTGTTTGTATATCTTATCGAATTTCCTTTCTTTGATTAACTTTATTTCATTGTATTCTAATATTTGAATAAATTAGACACAGTTATTAAAATAAATAATATATTAATAATATATCCCAAGGATTAGAAAAATTAGATTATCTGATGTTTCTTAACTTTGTGTAAACTACTTCTTCAAAGAATAAAATTTTAATATTAGAACAAAGTATATAAGTGAACAATATTATTTCTCATTAGTCCTTCTATTTTTAATCTAATATACAGTAATGCTTATATGCATATATTATAAAATATTAAACCCAGTTAAGAGTGTTAATAAGCTAATTATAACAAAAGAAATGGATTACATAACTTAATGTAGTCATCGGCGCCTGCTGGGATCACCGGGTAAGTAATAGTGAAGTTAGACGTAGGGTATTAGGGAATGATGGTAAATCAGTTGATGAGGTTGTGAATCTTCATCGACTGAGATGGTTGGGCCACGTGTTACATATGCCTAAAGACCGATTACCACAACGTGCAATGCTAACCGGTGTTCGGGACGGTTAGAAGAACGTTAGGGGCGGCCAAACCAAAATGTGGCATCAGTGCTTGAGGCCACTAACTTCTAGTCTGAGCCATGTTGGTAGATGCATACTACTTGGTTGGGGTTCGTGTGACTATCATAACCAATGGTTAGAGACTCTTGGTGACATGGCTCAGAATCGATCACAACGGCGTCGGTGTATACACTCTCTGTCTTCTCTTAAACTAAGAGATTAAAATCACTTCATATCTTTCTTTCTACGAACTAATTCTTTCTTCCTGTACTATATTCTTATTGCAATCTTTCTTTTACATATTACCACCTCTGAATTAACTACTTTTATGAATCCGGTGTCCATCTTGTTGTGTTAATGAGGTATGGCAACTTGGACCGATGCATATATATGCGTGGTTCTACGTTGTAGCTGACTGACTGACTAACTAATATAATCATAAGAAAAGTACAAATTGATGATAAAATAGATATCTGATCTATTATTACTGATGTGAATAAGACGAAATACGCGTTCTGGATTACATTGCTAACCACCATCCATCTCTACTTTATAAAAATAATAACAACTAGAATTGTTATTTCAATATAAGTAGTATATTGAAAGTTGACTAAATAGATACCGAAATATTAATCACTAGAAATTATAGAGTAAAGAAGACTAATGATCACTGCTGATACACCTCTTTTCTTACTATCGGTTTTTACATTTTACTTATTCATTTTAGGTATATAATCTATTTCATTGTTCCTAATAACTGACTTACTTGGCTTTGTGCTTTTTAATATCCTCATTTAAATATATCCTGTATGATAGAATGAAGTCTGATAACTATCTAATCGGAAGCAATATTGTTCACTTCTATATGTTTTAAACAATTTTTATAGTAATAATATTGATAATAAGAATGATTATTTTAAAAGTTAAACTGCTCATCTCTTTTTTATTTTACTTTTGTGAATTCTTTACTAGAACGTAATTTAAATCCTAAACAAGCTTGTTTAAAACGTCGTGAAGAGGAAAAAAGTGGTGAAGCACCACATTTCAGTGGTAGCACTGGAGGTGGCTGTGGTAGCAGTAGTAGTAGTAGTAATAATACACATATCAATTCAATTGGAAGCGCCATAAATCGTTTGTGTAATACTAATTCAGTGAATTATTCTACTCCTGTTGTAACATCGTCATCACAAAATCCATCAAGTCATATATTGGATTATGATCCACGTCTATCTCATATTACACATGGAACTGGTATGTATATAGTCTATTATTTATATGTTAGTTGAAAATTTCTTCGTAGTTTGTGTTAAACGGAGTAATTAATTTTCTAAAAATTTTCACTCCGATTCTTATATTAACTATCATTGATATTCTTAGTGCCTACTTTCACAAGTTTCAAAATTTCATGTTACATCACGGTTTACTTACACCTGTTACTCCTGGAGGAGCATAAGTCGCTCACTATCATTCCCTATCCAACACTGTCCTGGGAAATCCTTTCCAGTTGCTATTCATCCTCTTCATGTCTGTTTCCGATTCTCAACTCTGTGTTCTTTGGCCTTTCTCTTTTCCGTTCCCCTTCAGGATTCCAAGTTAGGGCTTGTCTCGTGATGCAATTTGATGGTTTCCGAAATGTATGTCCTATCCAATTCCATCGTCTTCTCCTAATTTCCTCTTCATTTGGAAGCCGGTTTGTTCCCTCCCACGGTAGGTTTTTTGCTGATGGTACCCGGTCAACGGACATTGAGTATCTCACGCAGACAATTGCTTATCAATACTTGTACCTTTTTGGTGAAGGTTGTGGTAGTTCTCTGCGTGTCAGCCCCGTTCGTATTGAAGATTCTCGTTTTGATATTGGTTGACGGTTGTTTTGAGTCCCATATGTTCTTCAATTGTAGGAATGCTGCCTTTACGTCTGTATCAGATCCTCCTTGTCCATCGGTAATGCTGTTCAGGTATGGGAAAGTTTCCACCTGTTTCAGAGTTTCTCCATCAATTATGACAGTGTTGGTGTTCTGCTTGCTATATTTAAGGATGTTGGTTTATCCTTTGTGCGTGTTGAGGCTTGCTGCATCATAGGTTGCTGCTAAAATGTTTGTCTTGACGTGCATTTGTTGATGTGTATGGGGCAGAAGAACTTGGTGATCTGCGAAGTTCAAACCGTCTAGTTGCATCGAAGTTGTCTATTGTATTCCATGTTTCCCATGAGATGTGGAGGTCTTCATAATCGAGTCAGCCACCAGAAGGTGGAGAAAGGGGGAGACAGACAACGTTTTCTGTCTCCGTTCTACACTTGGAATGTGTCTGTGCGGTGTCCTTCATGCATGACTTTTTAGTGTAGTCTGTCGTATGAATTCCGTATGATGTTGACGATTTTCTCATATAAGCCATTATATGGAAGAAGTTTCCATAATGTTCTTCTATCCACACTGACAAACACCTTATAGTGGAGGAAGTTAAACTATATTGATGAATTTCATTCAATTAATTGTTCAACAGTGATCCGTAGTGTGGCGATTTGGTTTGTGCTCGACCGATCCTTACGAGATCTGACCTGTTGATCTCGAAGTTGGGCGTATACTGAGTCTTTTATCTGGTTTAGCAACAGTATGTCGAAAATATTTCCTGGCACTGTAGCTATGTGATGTCTCTATAGTTCTCAAGTTTGCTCGGATCTCCTTTCTTTGGTGTCCTGATGAGGTGTCCTTCCCAGTCCGTGGGCAACTTTTCCCTCCCCCCAATCTTCTTGAATAGAACGTGAAGCGTGTTTGCAATTACTTCGATGTCTGACTTCAGTTGTTATGTTGTGTGGTCCTACTGGTCTCCCACTTTTGATTTAAAATCAAAATTTTGTTAAAATTCGACATACTTATAAATACATAGGTGGTTAAAAATGGATATGTATATCATGGTATTGTGGAGGTTTTAATAAAGTTAATAAGGTCGTTAAAAAAAAATGAAGACTGGAAATAATAAAGAATCATGTAAGTTGAAATCAGTTAATTAGAATTAAAATTATAAAGTCAAGAGAAATGAAAGTGACTTAATTAAACTTGAGAAAGATTTGAAACAACAAAAAAATATGCTGCAATAAAATGAATGTATTATTAACAGGGTAAAGAAAGGTTTTCGGAGCGAGAAAAGTAGTTGCCATAGACATAGAGTTCATCGTTTGTGTGTGGGCTGTGATACTGCCCGGGTGCCCAAACCGAAGCAGGTGGTTATCTTAGGGGGCCACTCCCCGAGCCTTTGACCTAAAGGTCTAACCCACAAGACAGTGGAGCATCGTAAGGAGATGCAGGCCCATGGTAGCCGGTGACCAACGATTGGTTCATACGCCATTTGTTCCCGCAGGATACTGGAGCCCATGTGCACCATTAGTTTGGAATCCGGTTAAAGCGCTTTTCGTCCTCTCATTTTCGTAAACAACACCCGCCACGAGAAGGCAATGAGTAGGACTTCTCTGGCAGAGGCTGTATACGCGTGGCCGTGTGAGAGTATTTCGAGAGGAAGAGCGGACTCACCCCACTCTCGGCCGTACCAGGGCATTCGGGGGCAAAGTATGTGTCAGAGGTGGGATATATATTGGCGCTCTCTTGTACCAATATTCATGTGTCCAAATAAATAAATAAAGGTTTATTAATGTTGCTTATTAAACACATAAATCTGGTTTCAGACGTTAAATCTTTATAATTTTAGCAAATTAGAGAAAATTGGTATTCTTTTGTTTATTGGTCATATTCAGTGTATTCAATTTCTATTCAATTGAATAACTAAATGGTTTACAACATTTTTAAAAATACATTTTAGCTGTCTATGGCGAAAATTTGCCAATAGTTAATAGTCGTAATGATTATGCATCATCGAGTACTGGATCTGCTGGAGATGTTTGTACTCCTGGTTATTTACATTCTGAAGTTCAACAATGCCCATCGGAACCGTATACCCATATTACATCACAACAACAACAACCACATCATTTGTCGATAGTTAATAATAGTTTCACAAAAAATGCTACTAATAATAAGTCTTCAGATAATTGGCATTCTGGTTCCATAATACAATCAGTTCAATCCACACATTCATTAAATAATAATTCACAAAGATTTGGAACTATTGGTATGACAAGTCATAATTCAGGTGAAGAATACGATGATGATGAAGATGAGGATGATGAAGACGATGTTGAAAGCAGTGAAGATGAAACTAAACCTTCAATAGTACGTTCTATTTTAAAACCTGATATAGACAATGATAACAGGCATTCTTCTGTTCATCATTCATCTACTTCTGTTCGCCCTGATAATAACAATAATAGTAGCAGTGGAAGTTGAATCTTTTCTCTTTTTATCTCTTTTTTTTCAGATGTTTTAAATTTTCACAAAATCATCTCTATTATTATTGTTATGAATTACTACTTATTGACTAGTCCAGTTATATTTGTGCATTTATATTGTTTAAATTGCATTTTCATGCTTATTGTGAGGTTCTTTTTCTAAATATTATGCATTTATGCTAGTTTATTTTAAGGTTTATTATTTCCATTGTTATAATTACCATTATTATAGAAATTAAGTAATCATATACATTATAAAACATTACAAAAAGTTTAAGATCCAAGTATGCTTATTTTTGTGCTTAGTATTGATTAATTTTATAAAACATATACACAATATTGTTATAAAGTGACATATTAATCTGTAATAATGACAATTATGGTTATTTCTACCCTTATCCATCTATCTATCTATCCATCGTCAAGTTACTTGTTCTTTCAGTATCCAATATTCCTTCGTGAAAACGTTTATATTTTTTGTCTTATGCATTTATTGTTTAATTCTCCTCCTCCTCCGGTTGATTTCATCTTTGTTTGATTCAGGTTACTTCTGGGATTTGTACACAATCAGTTACCTGTTTCAAAATCTATAAGTGTATCTATGTTTGTTGGTCTTTTATTACTATTATAGTTGTGTTTATTCACCAAGTTTATGTATTGTATTGTTTCTAAATTTAATTGTTCTAGAGTATGTTCTTGAAATTAAAAAAAGAATAATGTTTTGAGTAATTAGTAGTTTTTCCATCTCGCTAAAGATGTCAGTAGACCTTAGATAATTAGAGACAGTTCATTTCCTATATTGTATTATTAGGTTGTCTGTAATTTTGTATGTGGTTGACTTGTCTATAGGAATGAATCCCCATAAGACAACTATTGAGAACTTATTGTTCTGATCTATAGCATAAAATGTATACGAATTAGCACTCGTCCTGTGTACATAATATATCTGCATACAAAATTACTGGGAGAGTGTGACGATTATGTTTGTCATGAAATTAACTCTGGATTTCACGTCCGCTGTCAAAACACTTTACGACTTTTAAGATGTGGTTTTTAATGAATATTATTTCTACTTGTTTCATGTTTGGCCACCCTCGTTGAATCCATACGTTCAATAAAAGTGGGATCTTATCAAGTAGGTCTAAACGTGTGCCTGTGTTCTAGAACCTGACGTAGTGTGAATATCTGGTCTATACAACCACGTCCAGGTCGAAAACCAGCCTGATTTTCTCTAGTCTGCTCTTCACGAGCTTTAGTTAGGCGTCGAAGTATTATTGAAGCTAATATTTTAGACACTATATTTGTCAAACTGATTCCTCTGTGATTGTTACAAGAGGATTTTTAACCTTCCTTATAGACTGGCACAATCAGTGATTGAGATCAATCAGATGGGATTACGTCCAGTTCCCAAATTCTACCTAAGACCTCAGTTAATCTCACTGCTAATACTGAACCACCATCCTTAAAAATCTCAGGAGTAAACCTGTCAGGGCCTGCTGCTCTCCCTCGTTTCAGATTTCTTATGGCTTTTTCAACTTCGTAAAGAGACGGAGGACCTACATTAATTTGCCATTTAGGTTAACTGGAGATCGTGAGAAACCGAAATGTGGCTGAATGCCAGTTGAACTGATCCCTAAATTGTTCTGCCCATCGATCCAATCTCCTGGATTGAGAATGTATAATATGTCCATTTTTTTCCGAGATAGTTTCGCTAACAGTTGGGTTCCTAATACCTGTTTCCTTAATAAGTCTGAACAATTGTCTGCTATTACCTATTGCCACTGCCTTTTCCATCTCTCTTGCTTTCGCTACCCACCACTGTTCACGATAACTGCGTAGACTTCTTGTCAGCTTGCGCTTAAGCTGACTCCGCTCTTCAATATGTTCAGAGCAAGGTGGAATGAGTTTCAGAGCATTTATCAGAGCGATAGATGCTGCTGAGATCCAGGGTTTTTTCCTAACCTTGTGGTTTACCTTGTAGTGACTTACATTTATCACGAGAACACGACTGGTTTAATAAAAACAATTATTATTATAACCAACTGTACCAGTGTTTGTTTTAACGTGCTTTTGTTTGGCTGTGCTAATGACAGCTATTTTGTGCTTCCATTCTTTTACTTACACTTTGATTGTAACTTCGCGCGAATTCGGTTACCTTCTGTAACCAAGGTTGTATCCTGGCACGATCTCGGTATCCTTTCGATGCCACGAGATCGCCAGCTAATAAACCTCGACTTGGTCCATTAATTGCCTTCTGATATTTGGCTTCTCGGGGATTTTATGGATTTATTTGGTTACGTCCAACCCTCACCTTCTGATTCGCTTGGCACGTGTTTCTTGGTAGCAGTGTTCATAGTTAACCTCAACACGACTCCACGCTACAACCTTACTAGCAGATATCACTGCTGTTTCCACAGCTTTTCGGATATCATTCCATGTTGCCTCGGCGTGGGCATCACCTACATGGCTGCCTGGCTGTTTTTCTAGTTGCTCATGAAATATACTCTTTGTTTGACTATCACTGAACAGGACCCTAAGAGGTTTCCTTGCAGCGTCTTTCTGACGTCCAGTAAAACGCAGGCAAATATGCGCTCGTACTAGAGCATGATCTGAATCTAAGCATGTGCTCCAGAATGAGCGACAGTCTTCTATCGAACCCCTCCAGCGGTGGCTGATAGCGATGTGATATATTTGGGTCCAACGTTGGGACGAATTAGGGGGTAGCCATGTTAAAATATGTTTATCCTTATGCTTGAAGTTAATATTTGCAAGGAGCAGGCGGTTATCTGAGCATAGCTGCAACAGACGGTCGCCATTATCTGTTCTTTGGGCCACGATACTATAAGATCCACCTAGGTATCTTTCCTTTTCACTTAGTCTACCTATTTGGGAATTAAAGTCACCAGCCATTATTACTTCATCAGAGCGCCTAGCTTTTCGGAGAAGGTCGGAAAGCTTTCTGTAAAACTCGTGTTTTACATCTCAGCTGCAGTCAGTGGGAGAATATGCAGAGACGATGACGAGCGTCTCTATCTTTCCGAGTCCTTACTGTTCCGTTCAGTCGGACAGCGCACAAACGACTGTCTACTTGGATCCACTCTAAGAGAGCTAGTTCTGCCCTAGGACTCAATGCTATACCTACGCCGGCGAGGCCACGGGAAGCAGAATCAGGCCTTCCAGATACACGAAGTGTCAATCGAGTCGGTTCTTTATTTTGGCATGGTGAGGTCAGGTGAATGACGCTACTCGGATCCTGTATGCGCGTTTCGGAGACGCAGCACACATCGATGGCGCGGGATTCTAAAGTCTTAGCTAAGGAAGCCTGCTGTCCTATTTGTCACAGTGTTCGTACGTTAAAAGCTCCTATATGTAGTTTAGGGCGTGGTTCCAGGAGATCGGGAATAATGTTCTGCGTACTTGAATCGTTTACCCTAGCGGTGCGAGGTGATAAAGAGACGTGAGGAGGGTTAGTCGTGGAGATAAGAGAGGTATTAGGAGGTGTAGGAAGGATTTGAATGTGACCAACTTGGTCTCGTGTGCTGTTACGGGTATGAGGGCTGATATCACTTCCGGGCTGCTCACACAATGGAAGGGTATTTCTTGAGGACCCTGAAAAAGAAGTTGGATTAGTGTTGGTCTTATCGACCTGATAGCGTGTCCTCAGAGCCAAAAGAACAACTGCTTGAGACCGGCCTTTTCGTGGAAGGTTTTTAATGTGTTATCTCCGTTCTTCAAAGAGCCTTACCGCCGGAGACGGAAATCCGTGAGGTAAGGTGAGGTGTGACATTTTTAGGGTCGACCTTTTCTAACCCCACCCCTCCTTGTGGGAAGGCAGGATCGCTGCAGATGCTGGTCGTCCGAGGGAAACACCTTTATTAATTTTCATATAAAAAATGCCTTGACAAGTATATGTGTGACCAGATTGTTCGAAATGTATAGCGCAAATACATCACATTTTTCAGATCAACTCCGTCTTCTCATTGTTCTATCGAAATTTATAAAAGGGACTAATTGCTTTAAACACCTTACTGCTGTCACACCACTCTACAGTCAGCAGTACGACGTCGCCCTCAGACTTTGAGTTGGTGCTTTTAGTCTCACCGTCCTCTATCCGATGTGCCTGGCATGGTAGAACCTACAGGAACATATGTTCTAGCCAATATAGCTCGGTTGGATCATCACGATAGGCAATTGTGACCACTAAGTCAAAGTACCAGCTATGGTTGGTATTAAGTTACTTAGAATTGTAAATGAATGAGCTGTTGCTTTCTCGTGGTGATATTATCTATTTTAAATTATTTTCGTTTAAACCTAAGCTTCTTTATATATTTATATTTATATTATTTTATGAACTAATCACTTCTTTGTACTTGACGACACGCTCATTACGAGTTCCAAATATGATGCGTTCATTTGTGTTCATCTAGTTCTAATTGCTGTATATTATACTGTGTTGGGGATTCGCAGTTAACAAATGAATTCTAATACTTCCAATCATTATAGGTCATCAAACAGATATTTAAGGCCAACGAAATGTCACTGAGCCCTAACCAAAACATCCGGCAGTCGAGTCACTGAGTGTCGACTAGTTCACCAATCCCCGTGAAGGTCTATGACAGCCAACAAGCATAAAATAATTGCACGCCGTGGAGTGGCCCATGTAGTAGTGGTCTCACTCTATTCCTTATACCTACTCCTATCAATATATGTCTGTAATTACATAGCGTGTATTGTACGGTCACCATAGAAGCTATGGCAGGTCAAGTACTATGACTTCGACTTCAGCCGGACGGTCACACCATTCCCGTCTAATTCGAGTAGGTCATCATTCATTTGACACAGATCACCTACGCTAGTGGTCTACAGATACATGGCAGGTAAGCAAAGGAAGGAATATTAGACGGACT